TGCAGCCTCCCCCGCCCAACCTCTCCGGAGCTCCTGCCTCCCGCCCCCGACCCGGCCGGGCCCCCTCGGTCTGCCTGGACCCCGGACCCTGCCCTGCTGCCCTGACCATGCCCACAGGACACCGCTGGGGTGGCGTGGATTCCGAGGGTCCCTTCCCCGGGGACCCCGGTTCCCCGAGGCTCCGTCCTGGGAGCGCTGCCCCTGCGTTTCCCGCGTTGGAGTTTCTGGCCGGGGTAAGTCCGGGCTGTGCTGCTCCGCCACGCTGGAAGCAGAAGTGGCCAGTTCCCGTCTGAGGGACACTTAGGTTGTTTCCCAGCTCTCTGTGCTGTCCAGGCTGCCGGGAGCACTCCACACACGCGTGTCCTCACCGGGGAGGATCGTGTGCGCCTGGACCGGGCGGGGTGAGGATTCACGGCGTGTGACACTCTCCCTGCAATGGCCTCTGGAAAGGCCAGCCCTGTGCACGGTCCCTGGCACGGAGTGTCCCTGCGTTCACATTTCCTCCGTCCCCTGGTGCTCCCTGGTGCTCCTCCCTGCGACCCTCTCCCCTGCCTTCTCCACACTCCCCGCCTGCCTCCCTCTCAGTTGCTGCTCCACGTCCCGACCCCGCAGGGCCTGGCTCCCCAGGGACAAACCCCTGGGAGAGCACCTGCCCAGGGGCCGGTGTGCAAGGGCCCCTGGTTCCACACCGGGAGGTGACTCGATGCCAAGGGCTGTGCGATTGCGTTGTGGTTTTCTGCGGTTTATTGCGGTTTCCACCGGAAAGGCTGGGCCGGGCGGGGTGAGCGGCTTAGGCTTGAACAATTTCAGCGGCTCTGGGTGCAGGGGCTGTGCCTGCTGGCCTGGGGTGGGCCCTGGGCCGACTGGGGCAGACGGACGGTGTCCTGGGGGGTCAGCCCCGTGGGGCCTGCACGGGTTGGCTCGTGTGAAATGGCACAGGCCAGGTGAGCTTTGCTCTCTGGGAATCGGCTGGCCCTGTCCGGCCGGCTGCCCAGGGTAGGAGGCCCCTGATGTCAGCATGTCCGAATAACATAGCGGGCGTCCTGTCGTGTCCTGCCAGGTTGCAAAAAGGGGAGGTCCCTGGAGGACCCCAAGTGCACCTTGCATGCAGCCAGGTCCCTGTGGCCGTGAGCATACTCGCTCTGGGGACCCCTGGGACCCACCAGGGGGGCACAGGGGACGCACTCCAGGGCCTTCCAGCAGCCTCAGGAGCTACCTGCTACCTGCGGAGCACCGCCCCACACACGCACTCGCCGTGCTCTTCAATTCCTGGAGACACGCTGGCGTCCAGCACGGCCTCCCGCGGGGACGCTCGCAAGCACGTGTGCAGGGGCCTCCGCCCGTGTCCGCGCAGAGTGATCTGTAGGCGTCGACGGAACAAAGCCGGGTGCGTCGACCGTGCAGCTCGGGCCTCCTGTCCCCCGCCGGTCTCCAGTCTGCTGGCTCCGTCTTGCCGGAGAGCAGCGTCGCGGCCAGCCATGACCCCACGCGGGGCCGGCCCTCCTCCGGGAGTCCGCAGGGGAGCGCGCGTGTGAGACTGGCACGACCTCCTGCCCGACCGAGCCTTGCGTGTGGTGGCCCCTTCTCGGCCGGCCCTGGTCCCGGTGCCCACGGCGTGCGGTGCCGACTCGGTCCCAGAGTCTCGAGTTCTCGCCCATCGCCCGCTCGCTGCTCGCGGCGGGTTTCTGTGCGCAGCGACCCCGCTGCCATTCTGCCCTTTCTTTCTTTCTTTTAAATTCTTTTTTCTTTAATTTTCTTAGAAAGAGAACTCGTTTACAAAACACGGAGGAAGGAATATCTCTGCCCTTCCCGTCGCAACGTCTAGACCACTACAGGGACGTCCAAGCCCTTGCTAACGTCCCAGAGATTGGGAAGCAACAGGCAGAAAGACACATCAGACAGATGATAGGGAGGGTCGGCACGGTAGACACGGAGCTGCACGGCAGAATCCATACTCAGATGACGAGTAAAAATGCATTTCCTTTTTTTTTTTTTTTTTGAGTAGGGTCTCACTCTGTTGCCCAGGCTAGAGTGAGTGCCATGGCATCAGCCCTAGCCTCACACGCAACCTCCCAACTCCCGGGCTCAAGCATCCTCCGCCTCAGCTCCGCGAGTAGCTGGGACTACAAGCATGCACCACCATGCCCGGCTAACTTTTTTCTATTATTTTTAGTTGTCCGGCTAATTTCTTTCTATTTTTAGTAGAGATGAAGGGGTCCTCGCTCTTGTGTTCAGGCTGGTTTCCAACCTCCTGACCTCTTGAGTGATCCTCCCCCTCGTCCTCCCAGAGTGCCAGGGTCACAGGCGTGAGCCACTGCGCCGGCCAAGGTGCCATCTCAAACGAATGAAACGACCGCATTGAAAAAGAGATGAAAGAAAACTAACCCACGTCACCGTCCCAGGGTATTTGGACACACAGAGCCTAAAGCCACAGTGAAGAGACCTGCGGCCACGGGCCGCACCCCCCCAGCGCGGGACTCTCCACGCAGTGATTCTGGAGGGCTCCGTGTCCCCCGGGAGCCGGGACGCAAAGTGCCTCGGGCGCGAGCGAGCGAGGTTCCTGTCGGGGAGGGGGTCTCTCTGCAGAAGAGGGGACAGAATGCGCGCCCCGTGTCTGCAGGGTGCCACGTGAGCGCCCCAGGCGCGCACATCGTGTCCGGCTGTGACAGCTGCGCGCCGAGCCTCCGGACTGTCCCCAGTGAAATCCTAGCGTGACAACGCCCGCCGCGCGAACGGGCCGCACCTGCCGCGATCGCT